CTTAAGAATAAAGAACGAAACAGAAAAAAGTCGGTTACAATCCATAAAGAGATCTCACTCTTGAAAGGGCTGAAAAAAATCAGACTCATTGAGCACAGTCCCCGTTGTACCCTTTTTTTTCTCTTTCGCATGTCTTAAAGCAATACAACAAAGGACATATGAGGATTTGAGATGATGGTAAGAGAACAATAGATCGTAACGAAGATATTATTTAAACTGGTCTCGGTGCTTGATGCCTTTTTGGTCGAGCAACATTTGTAGATCTCCCTGCTCTGCCATTTTCAGGATAATATCAACTCCACCAGCAAACTCACCTTTGATAAACAACTGCGGAATCGTCGGCCACTCGCTTATCTCTTTAACATAAGCACGTAACACTGGATGCACTAGGACATCAAACGAGGTGTACTCTACACCTAATGCCTCTAGAACGTCAATCATGCGTTTTGAAAAAGTGCACACTGGCGCCTCCGGAACGCCCTTGATGAAGACAACTATGTCCTCCTCCTTGATCGTATCGTCCACATCCTTCTTGATCATGTCGATCTCCTCTTTACTGATGTTGCTTATCACTGCTCGAGGCTGAAAGTCGGGGTGGGTCTCTTCCCCGTCATCAATCTCCCCACCGAGTCCGGGATGTAACGTGGTGGTCGCACAACGACAGAGCGACAAAGCACTACTCGAATCCGTTGCGGATACTGGAACCAACGCCCGGCGGACAAGACTCTTGCGAAGGCCAGGTGCACAGCCATACATACCGACTGAAAGCCGTCTCAACATAACACGAGAATAACACTTCATAAATATACGATACTATAAGGGAAAAAGAAGGTAAAATGAAGAGAAAAGCAGCCTAATAAAAAAATATGAATCTGAGACAAATACTTCCACTCCAGAGACTAGACTCATTAACCCCCCCCCTCTGAAAAAAAAAATATCTACATCAATGTCTAAATTAAGGAAACGCAAATATTCGTATCCTTTTCCCCTTTAATGAGAACCGGGTGCACTGCTATCACTGTCCGAGTCGATTAACAGGTGCCGAAATTCAGGTCGGATACTTCGTGAAGTCGATGGATGGGTGTCCTTTTTCTCTACCGTCTTAGATGGTTCGACAACATTATGTGTGATAACATTATTAGAGGGCGGAGGGACTACCCTTCCCGCGAGCACTAGACGCTTCCCATTGATGACCGTGAAGGGCGGCGGATCGTTTCTATCGGGTGGCATCTGTGTCGATGGTATCGGTGCCGAGACGCCCTTCGATGGCACCTTGTTTAAGGGAGCCAGAGAAGTTTCTGGCGCAGCACACCGCTCCGGGGTCGGTGCCCTCTCCGCATGCGAGTCCCCTTGGCCGCACTCTGGCGTCGACTCGTGAGGCATCGCGGCGTCGGCCCCCGTCGTCACCGGCTCTGGCGTGGAAGCCTGGGGTAGCGGAGACGTGGTGAAGGTGCTGGCGGCGGGCAAGGAGGGAAGTTCGTCCGCAGCTCCCAAGGAGGATGCACAGGGCTGCGGGGGCCCCTCCTCCGTCGGTGAATCCGCCGACCGCGCGTCTCTGTGGTCGTTCCGCTGCATGGAATAGGGGGCCACAGGTAAATGGGACGAGATGCTATTCAACTTTCGGGCCCCCCGCACCGGAGGAACTGAAGCCCCTAGTGGTCGGGAAACCTCCTCATGGGTCTTTGCCTTTGGAGGCTGCGGTTCATCTGGCCGGTCACTCGTTCCCGCTACCGTGGGATACTGTTTGGGTTGCTTTTTAGAGATGTGTTTGGCAGTTGTAGATGGGCTCATATACTGGTACGTGGAGGCCTTTGCTTCACGTGTCTGGAATACGTGCGAGTTCACGCCTAGAAAACGTTTCTCCTCCGGTGTCAGGTAGGCTGAGACGAGCTCTACGCAAGCATCGTGCAAAGTCGCTAAGGCACACACCACATCATTGAGCGCCTTCTCCTGCTGATCTACCGGCTTGCTCGCTAGACGCACCATCCCACTTTTTTCCTTTGCGTGACGTGGGTCGGTGCGCATCGCACATGTTAATTGTTGACGCATACGATCAGAGCATTCGTTTAACTCTAATACTTCATCGTACATGTCCATCAGTTTTCGCGTAATTTCATTTCGATAACGCGTCCGCTCCGTAGCCGTCACGAAACCGTCCGCAGATATCGAAAGAGTGCATTTTCGTCGTTTACTGCTTGGTGAGCGTGATGGAGGTAGCCTATTTGAGGTGCTATCACTCTGCATTCTTGGTTTCGATCGAGGGACTGAGCACCGAGGTGACGACATGTTTACTGCTAGTGAATTTGGTCGGCCTTTCCTAGGCGTCTGGGATTCCTCTTTTACCATAGGAGATGGCCTAGGAACGGACGCAGCGTCATGCTTCCTCATATGCAGGAGTGTTTTTATTACGCTACTGATGTCCGTTGGCAGGCCCCCGCTGCGTAACGGCAGTAGAGTCGCTCTAGACTCATTGGAAGACGAGAAACCGGGATCCTTATGGTAAAACATTGAATAAACCACTTCACACTGAAAAGAGCGAAGCTTCTTACACAGGATCCCTAAAACTACAATGACAATAATATCGGATTAACCTTCTAATCACTCCTTCAGCTCTAACATTTAAATATCCAAATCAGGTAAATTGCTCTAGTTTTATGAAGCTCGTCAAAAAGAAGGAAGAAGGGGGGAAAAGAGTAGAGGAGTTACTCTCCCAGACGCAGAGTAATGTGATTAGGACAAAGTCATATTTATCGGGTGAAACTTGTCACTCTGTACGCGGAAAGTTAAAGCAAAGAAACGTAATACACTAAAAATTAGCGCAAAAAATGAATAAGCATATTAGTACAGAAAATAGTGCTCAAGTAACAATATCAGGTAATGCAGCGCTCCTATGGAAGCTCCCATTCACCTTTCGATGAGCAAGCCGGTAGGCCTTGGTGCTGATGGTCAACGTGCTAAGAAATACGACTAATGCTTGTGCTTATCCCGATTATGTGATGATACCTTGTCACCCCTTTCACTTATTTCTGCCAACCGCTCTGCATACTGCTGCAACAATGACATCAGTTTTGGGTCGCCCATCGTCAAACCTTCATCTATAGCGGTACTTTTCCCACAAGAACTGGCGTTCGCTGGTAGACTAACTCTATGTGACGGCCTTCTTGCTCCCGGTTTCTCTAAGAGGCTCCGAGGGGACTTCATTTGTTGGTTGTACGATCGCGGAGTACCCTCACCGATAGCTTCCGCTTGCAAATAAACAGGGTTTGTCCCCATGGCTATTTTTTCGTCATCGGTTAGCCAATGAGCAGCAAATCGCACTGACGCATCCCGCAGCTGCTGCAGGTTTTGGAGCATCGATTCTAATATCATTTCCTCATGAGCCGTGCGTTCCGCGTAGTGTTGTGGAATTGGCACGCCCTCAGGAATGCTGTCTGATGGTAAGAGGCCAAGCTGCTTTCGTACCCCCTCGAGATAATCAGACCGCAACTGCATCGCGGTCCGCCACAGTGGTCGTAATTGCCCACGTGCTTCCCTGTAAAGCGCCTCGACGCTGTTATGAAACCGCGCATAGCAGCGTACCGCCTGATCACGCACCCATAGACCATCCTCGAAGGTGTCAATACTGCACTGAACGTCACGCTCCGAAAGGGTGGGCAGGAGCAGCTGTTGGGATTTATGGCTGCTCGAGGAATGCGTTAAACGTGGTCCATCAGGCATCGGATGCGCATCAGACACGCTGTCTGGATGAGAAAGGGTGTGAACGATGGCCTCGCGCACATTGTATGGAACTTCAGCCCAGTCTCCCTCACCCCTTGCGACGGCCCGCGTAACGCTATACATTTTATAACCGGAACCTCACACTTTTCGATGATGGTTTGTTAGTGGTGAGGTTATAAAGGTATTCTATAGTGGGAACAAAAAAAGACCTTGCCACCTATAAGTTAAATCAAAAGAAAAAAAGAGGACGGAATAAGGAAGAAAAGGCAATCAACCTAAAGAATAAATCGAGAGCGTAATTATTGATAATGTGCGAGCCCTTTGTTTTTATAAAAGGGGGAAAGCTGAGGTTAGGGTGCTAGATCGGGAGGCACAGATTCGTTACATAGCGAGAGGGGGGGGAATTCGCATAGACAAATACCACCTAAGGTAACCATTAATTACCGAAAGAACGGTTCTGCAATACTTCTTACATCTCGGAATCTTCTAACTCCGCAAAGACGTGTTGATTGTCATCCAATACATCACAAATGAGCGCCTCAGGGTCGCAAGCAACACCACCCTCTTTTCGGATGGAGACTGGCACCCCGTGCCGCTTACCAAAGCTGCTGTCATAGTGCACCATAGCCGCATTTCCAAGCCACGAAATCGCTTGAGTGCCGTCGCCACATTGCAAGACAATGATCTTACCACGTATGTGAACAAATATACGCATTTTCCTCTTCAGTAGTTTGAACAAAAGAAATAGATTCCAGATTGATACTTCCGGGATTAACACAAAGAGGCTTAGCTCATGCCTTAAGAACAGACGCTAAGCCAAGGCCAATATTGGGCGTGTAAAGGCTACCTTTTTAGATAAGAGAAGTTAAATTGTAGGAGTATAAAGAGAAAGAGATTTAAATTGAGAATCAGCTTAGAGAAATTCACAAGTGACACGATTAGAAATGAAGGTTGATAAACACTGCTCGCGAAAGAAAGGAAAATAATAATGATGTTTTCCCGTTTGCTTACTATGAAGACCCAATAGGGGCATCGGAACCCAAATACACGACCGTGTCGCCTCGGAGAAATGTGAGTGCATTAGGTTTTCCAACATCACTGCCGTCATTGTGAGATGTGCATTCAGAAAAAACTACATTGAAACCCGCATCGGTTGCCTCCAGAGTGCCCCTATATGTTTCCTTGAAAATTGTATAACATACTGCGGGCCTCTTCATCATGGCATCCAAGCTAACAGGCATTAGACGCTTTATTAGAGTTACAACGAAGAAGCGACACACCCTTTCGTACCGAACCTGTATATTTAGTTATGTATCCCGCTGTTAATGATTTTTTTTGGATTGAACCTCTTCAATATACTTGAGTGTATGCAGACATGAATATATAGAGCACTAGAAGGGAAATGTAAGTAAAAAAACGAGGGAGGAGGGAAAGATAATAAAGAAAACCTGCTTACCGGAACATTTTAAAGGCCATCATCGTGAATCTGAATATGTAAATATTATTGTCTCGGAAAGCAGTGCGTAGGAGAGATTCTTATAGAGAAAAAATTGAGAAATATAAACATCAAAAGGGTATGACAACAGATGCATAGCGTAAAGTGACATGAACTCACACGATAACAAAATAGTGGAAATAAAACAAGATACATACAGAAGAAATCACTAAGCATTTTTTTCATAATCAATAAAAAATAGTTCTTGGAGTGAAACTCTGTGTCGCTCAAAACATCACAGCTTTCTAGAAGTTCCTCTGCGACTTCTCCTAACCTACACAGCACACCAAGTCAACGGTGAAAGTCACAGAAGATGAGAATAAGAATATAAATAAAAGTAAGAACCTAGACAAGGTAAAACACTCTATAATTGTACCAACTCATCAACACATCCCTCAATGTATTGCTGGGGCTTGCATATTTCGATTTTAGAAATGATTTCATCCCTTTCCCTTGCATTGGTTGTGCGAAATTTATTCATTGATATATCTTGATGAGGAAATTTTTATATATAGTTTTTGCGTGTGTGCGTGTCCAAAAAAGGGTGAGGGGAGAGTACCCTCCCCTCCTCTTCTGGTGGCGCTACGAGGAACAGCAACACGAGAAAGAACGTAAAGGAAACTGTATGCAAAAATAACCTCAAGCAGTACTTCAGGCGTCGCAGGTGGGGTTCTATCCTACGTTACCCACACTCGAGAGGCTAGAGAAGGCCTGGGAACGAAAGGAGAGGCCTTGCCGGCTGCAACGCCTGTCGTACCCACTGAGCAGCGTCGGCTGGCGGAGCTGCTGGAATCCGAGGGGGAGGGCGGTCGCCATGCGGCGGAGGCCCTCCTCGGCAGGCCGGTCGACCTCCGCCGGGAGGACGACGCGCGCCCCCCCCCCGTGCGGTGCGGAGTGCGCCCTCCCCGGCGGCATGACCCGCCACCGCTCCCTCCCTACCACCTCCTCCGAGGAGAGGCTGCTCGTGCTGAAGTCCGCGGAGGCCGGCTCGAAGGCATTGTATTGACTCGCGTCCCTGGACTTGGAGGAGAGCTGCTGACGCATCCCATCCTGCGAGTAGGTGGCCTGCGTGAGTGACGGGATGCGATGGGCTAACATGGTGAGATTCATGTGACACGCGTTTCGGATATGATTTCGATGGAGAGACTCCTCTTTTTCCAAGATCGCAATCATCAGCTCAAGATGATCAAGAGCAAAAGCACGCGTCATCGCAGCCCGTTCCTTGTAGAAATGTATGAGAAACGCGCGATGCGTTACTAAAATAAGCTCTATCAATCGGTGTTTGCGATTAATCTCAGCATTTCCAGTCTGCCGTTCGGGCTCCCAGTGTGGTATGCTCATTCGACGATCGAAGGGCGTCATCTGGTCAACGTTGTGCGTGTAATCGCATTCACTGGTGAGGTCTGATACGGAATGACGATGCCACGGCTGTTGTAGCTGGCTACGGTCCGTGATCGCAGCACTTTGTGTAGGCTGACTGACGTTTACAGTCGGGGTGTCGTCAAAGTTATGAGGGGTGATTGTGGAGTAGGATACCTGAAATGTATCGATTACGTCCTCCTCTACTGACGGCAGTGCATGATAGTGCGTGGGTAGTGCAAGCGCGATTAAAGAATTAGTTCTTGGTGACGTCAAGCACGGCAGTTCGACAGACGACAAACTGTTATTAAGCCTCTCAAAATTTCCTGTCTTCGTATTGTGGGGGCCGTCGTCAATACAACGACAGCATTTCTCATTTTCCCTGGACTTCATTTTGGTTGAGTCGCTTTTCCTATTCACAGCATGTTTCGATAACAAAGAAAGATGAAATACTCGACTATCCGCCTTTTTCCGTCCCTTAGAACCCTCTCTACAGCCCTCTGCGGGCGACTCAGAGGCCGAATGCGCAGACCCACAACAGTTTCCCATGATCAACTCAATATGACGGCAACGTATTGAAAAATTTGAGGTGGAAAGAGACTAATTAAGGAGAAAGAACGTGATCACAGACAGTGTTCTGAAAAGATTTTGCTACAATTTTTTGTTCTAAGAATAATAATAATAATAATAATAATTATTATGAAAAATGTCTGAAAAATACCCTCTTCAGAACACTAATCACGACGTTGTATAGATTTTTAAACCTTTTGTTAACTGTTTTGACCACTACAACTCTTGTATAAAGAGTTGAGTACTAATTGCCCTTTCTAAAACATGAAAGGGTCCTTATGAAGCCTTTGAGAAAAAAAGCCATACAGAAAGTGGAGAAAAAAATAATCGGGACTAATAAACAAAATATATCAAGTGCATGTGCCTGAGCAGCAAACGATGTCGTAAATAGATATTAGATAATTAATTGCTCAGCTCAGAGCGAATGCTACCATACCAAAGCATGAAAGCCATGCTTCACATGCACATAGATAAATATTTTTATTTAGTAAGAAGAAATGTGAAACACTGTTGGATCGATTGTGGCAACCAAAAAGACACTTTTCTGGAAATAATAGTACCTCAAAGATGCGTGAATCAACCAATTGTTCCGCTAGTGCCAGCTAAGAAGTCATTGTCTGAGATAAGCTTGAATTGAGGGTGGGTGTATGTATGTGTTTTTATGCAAGAAACCACTTTATTCATTTTCACAGATAAATTCTTCACGGTTCGCATCCGAGATGCAATGAGGCGTGGCGCTAGAAAAAGCTAAAAGGAAAAACGCAGCCTTCATGCTACCATTTCCACCTCGACCGATAGAACCTTGAGTTTCGTAGTTAAATCAGGCTCTGGTAAACGTCGCGGGAGTGAAACTCGAGCGATGCATCGTTGAAGTGAATTCAGGTTTTGAAATTAAGCCTTCTACTCCAGACTGTGGCTCCTTGAACGATGCAAACAATCGTCTTCGTGAAAATGCATTCCAATGACGCTACAGAATCCCTTGATGTAGCCAATAAATAGCCTGACACATTCATCCTGTAGAGCAGACCTTTAATACGTCATATCATTGATAGGACGGAAGAATAACAACGTTTTTGATGTGTGTACATAGCGTGCACGGAGCAATTGAGATGAAATCACCTGTCAAATCCAGACAAAGTATTCTGCTTTCTCTGACTCCAGTCTTGAAGAGACCTAATGTGTCACGAGCCTTTACAACAATTAACGGACCCAACATTTGGAGAGCCCAAAAAAAAACATCAACACAAGGAAGTCGATCAACTGAAGCATAGGGAAAGGGTAAAGAGTATAGTGCAAAATTCTGCAAAAGCGAAAAAAGCTCCAACGATACCATTGCATATGAGTAATGATGCAACATCCCCGACGCGCATGCCAAAAGAGGAGATGTTAATTAAATCATCCTTCCCGAATTGGTCAAAGGAAAACACTAAACTTATAACGGTTCAAAGCCCCCATAATAACACTCCCCTTTCAGACGTAAGGTCCTAATAGAGAGGAGCCCATATTACAGTAGAAAACGTAATCTCAGTGGTAGCTGAGATAAGTAGAGGTGCTAAAACCCGGAAACCACTCCCAGAGTAAAAACCGCATCAACCCCCCTTAAGGACCACTCCCAGATGTGGCCCCCAAGCAGATCCAATATGCCTTAGTTGCACTATGATATAATGAAGTCCACGGCGCTGATGACAGGAAATGCCACCACGACTTTGGTCATACAGCATCTCAGCAATTCATTCGCATCACCAGCTACCACATGAGAGTTTAGCAAACTGAAAAGTAACACCCATGAAGTCGCCATGGTTACCATTCATCATTGTGAGAAAAAAAATGGAAGCAATTCCTCTGATTGCAGGAGCTAACGCCGAACCGCATGATACACCCGGTGTGACTCATCTTGGTATGAAATCGGGGAGGGGGAAGAATATAAAGACTCCATCAATAAAGACTTTCATGAGAGTGTTGAAATCGTGGCCAGACAACGTCGCGTCCAAAACCGTAAAGCCCACGACCTTCAATAGCTAGGGAACAAATTATGAAATGAATCCATTCAACTTCATGCGTGTAAGCGCAAAATAGACGCTCGAGAGAGTAGTTCTCGATAACCTGAACTCTATGACCTCTTTTAACTCTTAAAGTGAAGGGACAGGCGTTTCGCACGATAAAAAAAGCTGAATGTATTATTTATTGAACTACAATGCACTTAGTCCCCTTGCTCATTCGTTCTCCTGTCGTACTTTCTTGAGTCGCTCAGCGAGTTGGTGCTCTAGCTGCTTCCTTCTCTCCTCCTCCGCGGCTTGTTTGATCTCTTCTCGTTGAGCACGATCAAAGTCCCTGCCAATAGCACCTGTAGATTCCTTCACTCCAAACGCTGCGGCAAATTGACTAGCAGTCTTCTTTTCATGTGCCTTTTTGATCTCACGCTGGTTTTCCATCGCTACCTCCATCAAAGCGCGGTACAGTTCCTCGCACTCACGCTCCACCGTGGAAGCGTCGGCCCCAGCAGTCAACTGCTCCTCTTTGTACAAATATACCTTCAGCTTTACCGCACGAATCGCCTTATGGAGCTGAAGTCGTAGGGCCATATCGTGGTTTTCTTTTTGCGACCGCATTAACATCAGAGGGTTTATCGTCGCCTCCTGAAGCTGTTTCGCCTCGCTGGTGTTGTTGGGGCTAAAACGATTGACTCGGGTGCCGACGATGGCCTTACTTCGCTGCACGTAGCCACTGAGGCCGGTGCCTTTCACCGACGTCGCTGTTATGTTGTTGTACATTCGCCTGCTAACGTAGATCCCGGACCCTTGGTGGTGCGCCAAGCCACTAATTGTGTTCTTGCTGTGTTCTACGGATTGAGGGTAGCGAAGTGAAAAAATGAGATCAAGATTTGCTTAAGGAATAGGCCCATGATTAGTAGTAGAAATTCGTTACCAAACCTGCGGTATTTAAGATACATTTCATATCATTTTGTTCTCCCTCTCTTTCATTAGATGAGTGTAAGCAAACGCGAGAGAATATAGATCACAAATTTATATATTACGCCCGTATTTTGAACTCAGCTCCTCAAAGTAAACAATACAGCGGTAAAAATCGAATGCTTTCCTAATATTTCAGATTTCTTTTTAGGGACACAGCTCTGTCATCGCCCGGTGAGCCCCTAAAATCAAGTTAAGCCGCGACTAACGATTTCACTAGCTTTCAGGCAGGAATCGCTAACAAGCATCCTCTCGCCGTAGTATTCCTCCAAATACCGGAGCAGCCGTACGGACTCCGTAGCTAGCCGCGCGCGAGCGTGCCGGAACCGTTTCAGCTGCTGATCCTCCCGCTCCATCGCGAACGGCTCCGACACCTCGCCGACCTCCCAGCGCTCCGAGACCTTCACGTCCGCCCGCATCGCACTAATCTCCAATCGCATGAAGAGGGGCTCGCCTTCATACAGGTGGTCTTGAAATTTACGTGTTGAGTTCTCGTAAAAAATGGTAGGGTCGCGTGGGCTCCAAATGTTCCACCGCTGACGTGCATCCGCAGCATCCCGCGCGACTGCCCAGTGCGATGGCATCGCCATCGCAAGCATCGGATCCCCGTAGAGTTCCCTGCCATCGTCATCTTCAAACTCGGCAACCTTGTGGCTGCGTTGGTGGCGATCGGCCCTGCGGTTTGCATACGACGCGTCAACGCTGATGTACACGTCATACGTACGGCTTTTTCGTCGCGCAAACTCAAGCGAGGAAGAGATTAACGTAGAGATGTCGATACCCACTTCAGCCATAGCTTTTACCGCTAGCGGGTGGACCAAGCCATAGGGGAACAGTCCACCACTGGCAATAAAAACTTGCCCGCCCGTCATAGAACGCAAAAAACCCTCTGCCATCAACGTACGGGCACGATTTGTTACACCAGCTATCAGTATACCCCTACAACTTGTCATTGGACGAAA